TTTTCCTCCCTCAGGGAGTTTACATTCTTTAAAGAGACAGATAACTACTCCTGTAAGAAACTGAAAGATAAGTGCTTGGGAGCAAAGTTTGCTGGACTGCCATTTTTCCTCTCTCAAAAAAAAAATTTGTTTTATTTAGGCATTATCATTTACAAAGCTTTTTTTTTTTTTTTTTTTTTTTGCTTTTTGGGTCACACCTGGCGATGCTCAGGAGTTACTCCTGGCTCATGCACTCAGGAATTGCTCCTGGCGGTGCTCAGGGGACCATATGGGGTGCTGGGAATCAAACCTGTGTTGGTCATGTTGGCTGCATGCAAGGCAAACGCCCTACCCGCTGTGCTATCGCTCCAGCCCCCTACAAAGCTTTTAATAACAGTTTTGTGAAGGTGAGACGAAATTGAAGGGACAGCCATTTATATATATATATACACACAAAGAAGTTTTTAAGTAAAGTGAACAGGCCAGTTCCGTAAAGTCTGGGTATGTATATGTGCTTATTATGTTCAGGGAACTGCTGGCAGCTGTGGCAGAGGTACTGAATGGTACTGAATGGGGAGGGGAGTGAACAGGAGCAGGACCTTCTGGAGCATTGTGAGGACTTGTCTCTGATTGAGCAGAAAAGGCTCAGATTTGAGCACAGGAGTAAGGAGGCCATAGTATAGAGTGCATTTGTATAGGGTCCATAGTGGAGGTTGGTGAGGGTGGTGCTAAAGGCAGAACTAGATCAGTGAGGAAGGTACTGAACTAGTGAGAGACAGTCGTGGTTTGGATCTGGGGGAAAACACCTGGAAGTCTGGAGAAGTGATCAGATTCAGATTTCCTGATTGATGAAATATGAATTGTTAGGTGACAGAGGAATTCCGACCGCTTCCCAGCTATGGTCTGAATAATGGAAAGAATGTAGCTTCATCCTCTGAGATGGGAGGTTTGTGGTAGGACAGAAATATCTGCTGGGGGACATATTTAAGAGATTTAAGTGTTGGGTTTTGTATTGCCTAGCAATAGCTGGTAAGTGACCTGCTTTGTTAACATTCAGGTAGCTGAGTCCTTACTGTAGAGGAGAGGTGTGGATAGTAGGGGGGCAGGGGTGAGCCTGGGGGTGACTAGAGCGATGAGAACATCCAAAAGAACGCCAGTTAAGATAGCTGAGAACGGGCTGGAGTGATAGCACAGTGGGTAGGGCGTTTGCCTTGCACGCGGCTGACCCGGGTTCAATTCCCAGCATCCCATATGGTCCCCTGGGCACCGCCAGGGGTAATTCCTGAGTGCATGAGTCAGGAGTAACCCCCGTGCATCTCCGAGTGTGACCCAAAAAGCAAAAAAAAAAAAAATAGCTGAGAACATATTTGAAGGACAGAATGAGCAATACTTTCTGAACATGGAGGATACTGGTATATAACATGTTTGTGTAGTTGGTATAGTTGGGTGAAAGCCTAATTGAGGGGGCTCGAGAAAGACCAAAGGGAGAATAAAGTTTATTGAATGGGCTGGGTTTTGTCAGGTATATGAGAAGACACAGGAAAACAAAGGGGAACATCTTCTAGATAATGAGACAGATGGTGGAAGGTCCAGCATTGATGTACCTGGCAGATTGAAAGAACTGTTGGAATTAAGAATGATCTGGAAGCACTGAGTAGATGGAAGAGTAAGAAGGACTGGAATTGAGACCAAGGAGAGACTGCAGGTGATCTGTCATGAAGGGTCTTTGCATGACGAAGTGAGTAAGTGGTTGAAGAAACGGAAGCCAGGGTACGGAAGGATGTGGCAGAATTTAAGGAACCAAGAGCCTTGGTCCTTTGAAAAGCTGCCCTTTTAGAATTAGCAAGATTGAAGACAGAATGTTAATGAGAATAACAGTGACAGTAAAGTTTAACTCTGTAGAGGAGAGGTGTGGATAAAAAAGCATGCATGTGTGGAGGTGGAGTGAGGTAGGGCTTGGTGCCTTGGATATATGTTGATCTGCAAAAGGAAAGAAAAGGGAGTTGGGCAGGAAGATGGTACAGAGGGCTGGAGCACATGCTTTGTTTGTGAAAACTCTAAATTCAATTTCCAGCACCACATGGCTCCCCAGGCACCACTAGGAGTAACCCTCCCCCACCCCTCACACATACCACCTTCCCCCTTCCAGAAAGGGGGAAAGGGAAGTGGTAGATCTGAAGAGAGAAGCTCCAAAACATTAGGGAAAAAATGATGTCACATGTGTGAATATACTATAAAAATCAACTAACTCTAAAGAGCATCTAGGAAAAAAATTACAAACCAAATAAAAACCTGTAAAATACTCAGATTTCTATTGCTTTTTTTTTTTCTTCCAGGTTTTTAAAAAATGTTCATTGGCGCTGGGGATTGGAGAGATAGTACAGCAGGTAGGGCACTTGCCTTGCACACAGAGAGCTGACCTTGGTTCGATCCCCAGCATCCCATATGGTCCCCCTAGCACCAGCAGTAATGATCCCTGAGCACAGCCAGGAGTCAGCCCTGAGCACAGCCTGGTATGGCCAAAAAAAAAAAAAAAATCTCAAAAATGAAAAAAAAAAAATCTTTAGTGGTAGCTCAGTTTTTCGCATACATACCTACATACGTTATAGTGTTTTTAGTATTCTAAAACCCACTGTGATCTTGAGGTTGGTTTTGCTCTGTATTTTCTGTCATTGAGAGCATTAACAGTGAGTTGCAGTTGGTTTCTTTTTTTTTTTTTTTTTTTTTTGCTTTTTGGGTCACACCCAGCGATGGCTCAGGGGTTACTTCTGGCTCATGCACTCAGGAATTACTCCCGGCGGTGCTCGGGGGACCATATGGGATGCTGGGAATCGAACCCAGGTCGGCCGTGTTGGCTGCGTGCAAGGCAAACGCCCTACCCATTGTGCTATCCCTCCAGCCCCTGGTTTCATTTTTTATGCTAATAAGCATAATTTCATGTTACATTCAACATTTGGTAAGTTTTAAAACTGATGTTCCAAACTGGGAATCTGGACAGAGTGCTTTTCAAAGACTTCTTAATAACTTTATGTCTACGAGCAAAAAGTTAATTTCTAAGCATCCCAGGGCTGGAGCAATAGTACAGTGGGTAGGGCGTTTGCTTTGCATGCAGCCAAACCATTTGCTCCCCCGAGCACCACGGGGAGTAATTCCTGAGTGCAAAGCCAGGAGTAACGCCCCCCGACCCCCCCGCCCCCGTGCATCACCGGGTGTGACCCAAAAAGCAAAAAAAAAAAAAAAAAAAATTTCAAAGCATCTCTGTTAACAAGAGGGTTATTTTATTCCCATCAAGCTAACTTGATGGGAAAAAAGTATATTACTTTAAATTTTGCTTCAATTAGCAAAAGTGAAGATTTTTCATCTACCTCAGACTGTCTTCTAGGACTACTTTGTGTGGGCGTCCCACCTCTTTTTTCCTTTTGGCACACCTGGCAGTGCTCATGGTTTACTCCTCGTTCTGTGCTTAGGGATCACTTCTCGTGAGATCAGGGAAACATATGAGGCGGCAGGGATCAAAGCCTGGTCAGCCACATGCAAGACAAGTGCCTTACCCTCTGTACTATATTACACTGGCCCCCATCTTTTGTCTGTTGGGAGGTTTCTTGTGTAGTGGTTGTTTAACAAACAGAAATAGTGTGCTTTTAATAAAAGAATCTCTATACCTAATGCTTATAGTTCCGAAAAGGCAAACACAAACAGGCAAGAATTCCACTCAGATACCTAAGTCCTAAAACAGGAAACCCAGAAAATTGCTGCGATTTTATTAGCAATTTCAAAAAGCTTTTTGTAATATAGCCTTAACTTCAAGTTCGTCCAGTTTACTTCATTGTCATTTTATGTAGTAAACTTTTTTGGAGAGGGAGGGATGGGGATTGGTTTGGGGACCATGTCTGGTGGTACTCAGGGCTTACTCCTGGCTCTGTGCTGAGGAATCCTCCCGGCTACATTGTCTGTGCCTTGGAGTGTTTCTGCACTGTGCTGCAGCTGTTCCTCATATTCCTCACAGTAACCTTCTGAGGAAAAGCTTTGAATCTGTACTTTATAAATGTGAAAATGAAGGTATAAATGAGCATGATTCAGTTTGGGGAATCCTTAGTGGAGGGATGTTTCAGGAAGGATATTTGAGATGAAATTCAACTTGTGAGTAGTAGGACCTGAATATTCAGTAAGTTAGCACTTTTGAGCACTGACTTCATGCATTCTACTAAGGCATTTGATCAGAGAACTCTCTAAAGAAGGCCCAGCTAATTAAAAAAATATTAAAAGTGAGGGAGGCTGGAGCGATAGCATAGCAGGTAGGGCATTTGCCTTGAATGTGGCCAACCTGGGTTTGATTTCCAGCATCCCTTATAGTCCCCCGAGCACAGCCAGGAGTAATTCCTGAGTGCAAAGCCAGGAGTAACCCCTGTGCATTGCTGGGTGTGACCCAAAAAGTGGGGGCGGGGGAGGCCAAGTTAAGTTTGGAGGTGCAAATATAGTGGGACTGAGAAGCCAGCTAAGAGCCTCAGGCTCAGTAGTTGTCAGAGCCAGAATTGCAGCAAGTAGGTGTCATGTATCCTCAGTGGATTGGTCTGTAAATGGATGGAGTGAGGTAGTGGGGCCAGTTGCAGGCTTTAAAACTTTATTACCGGGCTGAATCGATAGTACAGTGGGTAGGGCATTTGCCTTGCACATGGCAGACCCAGGTTCAATCCCCAGCATCCTATATGGTCCCCCGAGCACTGCCAGGAGTGATTTCTGAGTGCAGAGCCAGGAGTAACCCCTGTGCATCGCCGGGTGTGACCCAGAAAAAAAAATTATTATCAAGCATTACATTCATGGAGGGTGGGCGGAAATTAGTGTGGGTCATTTTCTAGATTGGTTTAAAATTAAAAGGTCTTATGATAGTCCTTGGTAAAGTCTCCTTAGACATGAGAATACCAGGTACTGCTTGCATAGCTGGCAGAAAGGAGTGGTGCTGTGTGTCCCTATTACCAATTTATACAACAAGTAAAAGACTCACCTCCAGTTTTGTCTTCCAGATGTGATGGATGTAGCATGGTCTCCCCACGATGCCTGGCTGGCTTCATGCAGTGTCGATAACACCGTTGTCATCTGGAATGCTGTGAAGTTCCCAGGTCTGTCGATACCTTAGCAGGCTGGGCTTTCTCCTTTGGCTAGTGTCAGGTAGTGTCTCGCAGTGAACTGGGATTCCTGAGTCTTGTTAGGAACTCAGTTCTAGTTTTCTTAATTACTAGAAATTAATTAGACACTGGACAGTATGGTGGGAAGTGAACACTCTAGAGGAGGTTGTGGTAAGGGATTGTGTTTTGCATAGACCCCTATCATTAACAGTATTGTCAACAACAGTGCCTAAGATAAAATTTAAAAAATAATAAAAATTTTAAGTAACCAATTACAGGCATGGATGTGACACAGTTTATGAGGGTTGGTACATAAACAGTTGGGTTTGGGGCCTCTGCTCAATTTGTACTCAGTGTGCCTCAGCAGCTCCATGCATATTGTGCTTTCACCTGTCTTTGGACCCTGACAACTTCCTACTGACCCCCAGTTAACACACACACTCGCTGCTGAGGATGCCTTCTCCCTGCTGGGCTCTGTTCTCAGCACAGTGGTCTTCTCCTCTGTGAAGCTCTGGAGATGCAGGCTGACAAATCCAGTTGTAATAGATTAATTTTTCTTAAGATGTTTAAAATCACCATAGCATAATCTGCCATGGCTCTGCTATTTATAGCTAGGAAACTACTTTCCATAACCCTGCTTGGTATCTGAGGCAGCTTTTTCTCCGAGCTGAAATGTACTATCCTTCAGATATACCATCTGGATTCAGTTCATTTGTTTGTTGGGACATTGGATCTGGCTTCAGAGGGTTAGGTTTAGAGACTCACCAGTGTCATTTGGATTACTGGTATCTAGGAGGTGGTGTCTCACACACCTTTATCCTCAGTGGTGACTTACAGGGAACTCACTACCTAGTACCCAGTCTCCTGACCCATCATGCCTACTCTTTAACCAGAAGGGTTTATATCAGAAGTGTGGTCACACCTGGAATAGTCATAGACTTTTGACCTGAACAGGGAACGCAGAGTCAATGGCTGCTGACTCTGCTGAATTCAGCTCTGAGCAAAATGTAAGCAAGCCCTTGGTGCCCGCTTCTTCAGAGACAACTTAACAAGTTTTAGCTGCGGGGAAATCGAGGAGCCTGTCTTCTTCATTTCTGCAGGTTGCTTTTGCCTCAGTAGATCTACTGAGTAGATCTACGGAGTGGGGCTGGAAAAAGGAATCTCCTGAAGTTTCTTTCCTTGGCTAGCAATTCCAGGGCCCATGGATTGCAGCTCATGTTTCTGTATGAAGTCATTACTATCCTCTTCATAACACCTTGCCAATTTATTGTTTTTCTTCATAGAAATTCTAGCTACCCTGAGAGGTCATTCTGGCTTGGTTAAAGGGCTGACTTGGGACCCTGTTGGTAAATACATTGCCTCTCAAGCCGATGACCGCAGCCTCAAGGTATGGAGGACACTAGACTGGCAGTTGGAGACCAGCATCACCAAACCTTTCGATGAGGTAATAAGACTACCTAGAGAGTGCACTTGACAGCCTTTGGCCTTGGTGCACAAAGCAGTTTCCTGACCTAGTGGGTGAATGGAGTGTACAAGACCTGGTCAGGGTTTTCTAGAACACTGAGGATCAGACAATGAAAATCTTCCCATTTCTCCAACACTGTCGTGTGCCACTTTGAATTGAAAACAATTTATAGGCTTTTAAAGCCTTGGAGATATCCCCACACCATTGTGTCATACAGCTAACTGCCACAGAGATGGATAAAACTGTTTTGGGCCTTTTTAGAGTTGGCAGTATAATTTGCAAAACATATGGAGGTCAGTTGAACAAGAGTGACCTGTGTATCTTACTGTCTCTTCAGTTACCTGAATTCTCATTTCATATGGGATCAGTGCTCATTGTCACCATTATTTATTAAATGTTGAATGCCTACTCTCTGTAAATCTATACTGGTTACAGGAAATGAAAGTTTACTAAGATAGAGTCTCCTTTGAAGCTTAAAGACAGGGGAGAAAGACGGTGACGTAAGTTACGAGTTGTAGCTTCTCAGAGGAAGAGGTGTGAGTTGAATTTTGCACAAAGAATAGACATTTGCCCACTGGTCAGGACTAGCTGTAGAAAGTAAAAATCAGTGGCCAGAGAGATAATTCAGTAAGTAGGGTATTTGCCTTGCACACAGGTCTGTTCCCTGGCATTCCACGTTGTCCCCTGAACACTGAGCTAGGAGTAAGTCCTGAGCACCATCAGATGTGGCCCCAAAACAAAACAAACAAAACAAAACACCTGGGGCCAGAGCCATAGTATAGCAGGTATGGCATTTGCCTTGCTTGCAGCTGACTCACATTCAATCCCCGGCATCCTATATGGTTCCCCAAGCAGCACCAGGGATCATTCCTGAATGCAGAGCCAGGGATAACCCCTGAGCATCACTCTCACTCTCACTGTCACTGTCCTCCTGTTGTTCATCGATTTGGTCGAGCGGGCCCAGTAACGTCTCCATTGGAGACTTTGTTACTGTGTTTGGCATATCGAATACATCATGGGTAGCTTGCCAGGCTCTGCCGGAGCATCACTGGGTGGCCCAAAAACCATAAAAAGAGAAAGTGGAAATCACATACTAAGTTATCTCTAGCTAGGCACATCAATGCAAGTTCATCTTACTTATACCCGCCTTCCCTGGCTCTATCCTAGTACAGAGTTGTGGGCTCATACCTTTTACAGCTCCTCTAAGATCTGACTTCAAGACAGTGGGGGCATTCGAGATGGGCTTTTGGAGCAGCAAAAAATGGGCTTAAGGGCTTGGAATCCCAGCAAAGCTTTTATAATTATCCAGCCTCCCAGGTGGGCTCGTCCTGCCTGGGTCTAGGGCCCAGCTGGAAGTCAAGTTATGTTTTGACACTCGAGCCTTGCTTTATGCTGCCCTACTATGTAGCTTTGAGACTAGGTTCCTAACCCCTTAACCTTTGATTGTTTTTTCGGTTTTTGTTTTAAGTTTTTGGGTCACACGTGATGTTGCCCAGGGGTTACTCCTGGCTCTGCACTCAGGAATTACTCCTGGCGGTGCTGTGGGACCATTTATGGGATGCCAACGATTGAACCAATGTTGAGCGCATGAAAGGCAAGCTTCTTACCCACTGTACTATCTTTCCAGCTCTTCTGAGCCCCTTAATCTTTAGGGTTGTCCTGACTGATACTGAATTTCAGAGTGGGTTAGTGTTTAGCTCATATCACCTCACTTTGCAGAAGGAATAATTTGAATGAATGACCTACTTCTGCTCTAGTTCGAGTCAAGGGAATAGTACCTTACTGTTGTGCATTTTGTGGATTTTATGGAATTTACCTGATATTTATTGTATCACAGGCTTTGGGTGAAAAGACAGCCTTGAGAGACTTAACAATTAAACCTGTATGCAGGCTTAACAATTACTTTTTCTGTTGTTATTATTTATTTATTTTAGTTTTCAGGCCACACCTGGCAGTGCTTAGGGCTAACTCCTATCTGCGGAGTACCCGGGATTGAATCCAGGTTGGTCACATGCAAGGCAATGACCTACACACTGTACTATCACTGCAGGTCAGCTTTGCTCTATTAAAGTAATGGTCTGTACAACACATGTGGTAGATTTTGCAGGTGTTAGGCAGAAAAAAGGGGCCATGACCAGATAGACTTTTCATACAGAGTTAACATTTAAAGGGGATAATGTCTCAGTTTCCTGTTGGGGCCTATCCCAGCAGTTCAGCTCATCTGGATAATGTCAGATGCCAGATATCTCAGCAGTATCTGACAGAATCTTTTTTATAGGGGGGCAAGGTGGGTGTTTGTTGTTTGGCTTTTGGGCACACCCAGTGGTGCTTAGGGTTTACTCTTGGCTCTGTATTCTAGGATCACTTTTGGCAGGGTGCCGGGGATAGAACCTGGGTCAGTCATGTGCCAGGCAAGCACCCTACCTGATATACTGCCACTCCGGTCCTGACAGAACCTTTTCATTGGATCATTTGGAGAGGGCTGAAGCAATAGCACAGCGGTATGGCGTTTGCCTTGCACGCAGCCAGCCTGGCCGAGCCGGGTTCGACTCCTCCGCCCCTCTCGGAGAGCTCGGCAAGCTATCAAGAGTATCTTGCCCGCACAGCAGAGCCTGGCAAGCTATCTGTGACATATTCAATATGCCAAACAGAGTAACAACAAGTCTCAATATGGAGACGTTACTGGGCCCACTCGAGCAAATCGATGAACAACGGGAGGACAGTGACAGTGACATTTGGAGAAACAGGTTACAATTCAGTATAGTCAGAAGCTTGAATGTGTGCTCCACAGTCACACAGTCACATTTGTGAATCAGTTCCCCTTTATTTTTTTTTCAGGAGGGGGTGGGCCACACTGATGGTTCTATAGGGCTACTACTGGTTTGATACTCAGGGATCACTCCCAGTAGTGCCATGGGGACCATATGGTACAGGAGATTGAATTGAACCTGGTGCTTCCTCATGCAATGCACATACTCCAGCCCTATAAGCTATTTCCCTAGACCTCTACTTTATTCTTGATGCCAGAATTTCAGTCATAGTGTTGACCTTGATCTTTAAAGCACAAATATCTTTCAGTGTGGAGGAACAACCCATGTATTGCGGCTTAGCTGGTCACCTGATGGGCACTATCTGGTATCTGCCCATGCCATGAACAATTCTGGACCCACTGCACAAATTATTGAACGGGAAGGCTGGAAGACCAACATGGATTTTGTTGGGCACCGGAAAGCTGTGACTGTTGTGGTAAGTGTAGTTGGCCCCAGGGTGATTGGATATGGGCATGCTCATGACTGGAACGCTAGGAGCCTGGGAAGTGCCATAGTTCCCAATGCTGAGTCATCATGTGGGACTGAAGTGATGGGCTCTGAGTCATTGAGATTCTTGTTTTAGTTTAAATACTTAAGTGTCCGGTATTTAAAAACTAACATTACCAAAATAATACTGATTAGGGACATTGTAATTTTGTACTGTTCTGAGCTGCTCACTGGGGCTTAAAAGCATGGGAGACCCAATAAGTGGCTTACTTGCTACACTCCAGAGTTATGATGTGAGCACATGTTAACAGCCCAGCAGTGAGTAGGTATGGCTCTAAGACTATTCTACAGGTCACAGGAGTACTCACCTTGAGTCTGGTGCTGCTGCCTGACCCTAACATGTTGGGGTGGGCGGTTCTGATGATCTTCTTGGCTGCACAGAGTATCTGGTCACTGCCTTTTGTCACCCTAGATTCTTACATTAATGAGTGTGCTGTCCAAGGCAAGTTCTTGGATAGTAGCAAAATACCTATGAGTATTTTCTCAACACTGGTGACCAATAACTCCTAGTATAATAACTAGGAGGATAGGCTTAGGTTGATTAAAAATCCAGGCTTATCTGTCATGTTTAAAATGTATTCACCTTTCTCACTGTTTAAATTGATATTAAATTGATACATACCATAAAATAAAGCATAAATAGATTACCATTAAAATACTATTTCTGTTGTATTCTTTGTGTAGTCAAGACCTTGCTACAGTAGCATTACAGTAGCGTTTTCATACATAGCCCAGTGCCTCCGCTTGACTCAAGTGACCCTTACAACCTCTATAAGAGCAGCTCTGGTTGATGGCCTTACCTCCAGCTGAGCAGGAGTAGAGACTACAACTGAGGATTCACACCTTCAGAGTTCATGTTCTCAGTTCTCTGTGTTGCCCTGACCATTTCTTCCTAGTCTCTAGTATTGGACCCCATCTGGACTGCCTGACACCAGACTAGAATTCTTGAACAGTTTTGGTTTACTTATTCTTTTAATGAATCACTGCGAGGTACAGACTTACAAACTTTTATGCTTACTTTAAGCCATAGAGTGATCGAGTACCCATCCCTCCACGAGTGCATATTCTCCACCACCAGTGATCCCAATATCCCTCCCACCACCCCCACCCCATCCCCCCCTCCCCACTCTGCCTCTGTGGCAGGGCATTCCCTTTTGCTTTCTCTCTCCTTTTGGGTGTTGTGAACAGTTTTGGTTTTCAAGTGTGAGTTAAGTCTTCTCATGCCTATCAATCCAAGGAAATGATATTAAGCTCTGTGTAGCTTCCCATCTTCCAGAAGTAAAGTGCAGCTTTCACTGTGGGTGGCACTCTGGCCTGATCTTACCATGAAGGAACCATCATCCCTGGCTAAGTGAGGTATGCCAGGCAGCCTAGTCCTAAACAGCTTTAACTGAGCAGGGAAGTGATTAATGGAACAGACCTCTCCTGATGACCCTCTTGTGTTCCCTTAGGATATTGTTCCTGAAGGTCAGGTCAGGCCCTAGAGATACCCTGACCAGAAGGCATTCAGAGGACCAATTTCAAAGGCCAGATCTATTGGTCTGGCTGCCGGTCCAGGTATAGAGGGTAGGTCCAGGAGTAGAGGGCTAGCTTCACATGCTTCACATCTACATCTCACCACCTATTCATCTGATAATAGGTAGTGCTTTCATTTTCTGGCACCACCGAGTCTTCATTTTATCCTTAACAAAATATCTCCTTAAGCTAGTTGTAAAAATGAAATAGTACAGGCCTAAGTTCCCAGCAGTGGGCTGAGATTGTAAAACTTGAACTTTCTTAATGCTTATTTAATATTTTTATTTGACTTTAGAAATTTAACCCAAAAATCTTCAAAAAGAAGCAGAAAAATGGGAGTTCTGCAAAGCCCAGCTGTCCATACTGCTGCTGTGCTGTCGGCAGCAAAGACCGGTCTCTCTCTGTCTGGGTAAGCCTCTGCCACGAATTGTTGCTGATCTTGCAGGCAAGGGTGTGGGATGTAATGTAGGGTGCATGCTGGTAGGGATTGGAGGCCTGGAAGAGGAGAGACCTCAACTTCTGGTGGTATTTCATGTGTGTTTCTACCCTATGCTTGGCCCTCCCATCACCCCAGAAGGAAGCCCTGATGTCTGGACCCAACCAGGAGAAGCTGTCCTAACCCTTAGGAAAAGCCAGTTATGTCCACACCAAGAAATGTTCTCAGTGATTGGGATCAAAGCTGACATGTTCTGTTTGCTTTTTTTTAAAAAAAGACCTTTTTACAACCATCATCCTTAGCCACAGGTTCTGCGTCTGAGGTTTTACCAACCAGGTATGGTTGGAAAATGGGTGCTTTGTAGTTAGACCTCCACTGATTATGTCCAGATTAAGCTCAGCTTAAACTGGCTCTGTGTGTTTCTTGACAATCCTTACACTCTTTATAAAATTTGCCTGTATATGTAGCCAGTTACCCCAAGCCTTGGACCAATATATACCAGAACTACTTGGACCCTGAGATCTGTTGGCTTCTCTCAGAGGCAGTTTTCTTTACATGGTAACTTCCTTTACTTTTATCGCAGCCCAGGCCATGTTGTCCTATCCCGTATTATAGATCTCTGATTTCCATGCTATTCCTCTCTTCAAATCATGTCCCTTCCAGAAACCTTTTCTCACTTGCTCATTGTTTGTGTAACATAGTCTCCCCTGCAATTCCCACCAGTGTGGGTTATGACTCCATTATATATTGTCTGGGCAAGCTTTGGTTATCGGAGTTTGGAATTTAGTGATTGCTATTTGAGTAAAGTTGGAATGACTTGACTCTCTGTATCAGCAAAAACATCACCTAAAGATTCTGGGGCTAGTAGTGTTAACTGAGAGGACAAAGAGGGGTTTTTAGACTTTAATTTTTGGTGCTGCTTTTCTTTCAGCTCACATGTCTAAAACGACCTTTGGTTGTCATCCATGAGCTGTTTGACAAATCCATCATGGATATTTCCTGGTAAGATGGACTCTTGTTATGTTGCATAAGCTAGAAAAGGATAAGCCATGAATTGGAATACAAGGCCTTCTGGATATGAGTGGGGAGGCCACAAAGACCACCTCACCAGTTGGTCCCATGCTGTTTGTACGTGACTCATTAAAGGACAGTGCCTTCTGTGTGGAGAGTGTCTGCTACTGTGCTCCATTTGTCACTGGAAAATCCCTACTCAGACACTCGTTTTTGTCAAGGAAAAGGAGGACACTGTGATCCTAGTTCTTCTTCATTATTATCATGTGAATCAAATTAGCATAGATGTGGAGATATATTTTCTGCTTCTCAGTGACCTCATTTAAATATACACTCTCTCAAGTTTTTGTCAGGGACTAAATACAGGGCCTTATGTATGCAAGGCAAGTGCTATATCACTGAGCGATATCCCTATTTCCTAAGTTTATTTTTTAATTGTACCAAAAACAAAAATGAAATTCATATATCATGAGAAGTAGAGATGGTTTGTACATGTGCTTAGAACCATAGAGTGCAGAACCCTCTGTAATGCATTTGTCATGCAGTTCCCCCTGCCATCAAGCCATGGAAGAGAACCAGAGGTTTTCAGCCTCTATACCTTAGACCCTTACCCTGCTGTTCCTCTAATCCCACCCTGAGATGTGCATGAACTCTACAGGCATTTGCTCCCAGACTACTGACCACAGTCTCTTTCAGGACTCTGAATGGACTAGGCATCTTGGTGTGCTCCATGGATGGGTCTGTGGCCTTCCTAGACTTCTCCCAGGATGAGCTTGGAGATCCACTGAGTGAAGAAGAAAAGGTAGGAAAACACCCGTATCACTGGTATGTGGCCAGCGGGCTACACATACTCTAGAGTCACAGAAATAGTCACAATAGCTCTTTTAATTGAATCCTTTTTTTGTATACACATGTTGTTTAAGTATTATTTGGAATTTCCCCTGGTATAGATTATAATTCTTGCAAAAATTGATTTCTTTAAAAATTATGTCAGAAATCAGTTCTGGAATTAAAAATAATATTACTGGGCTAGAGGCTGGAGTGATAATGCAGCAGTGTGTCTTACACACTGGGTTGAATCCCCAGCATCTCATATGATCCTGAGTGCAGAGCCAGGAGTTTTCCTTGAGTGTGAGTTCACAAAATGTGTGGGTGCTGTGTTCGGTGTCCTGACTGCCTCCCATCCTCCCCAGTAAAGAGACAGAGAGATGGGGGACCACAGACTAATGGTGAAAATGGCCCATTTAATGCAGAGCTGCAAGCATACTTACAGAACATCTGCGGGGAGGGGGGGGAGGGTTGAGGTATAGCACCTAGGTGTGATTGCTCTTTTACAAAGATAAAACATTTGACAGAGTCAATCTCTAGGGGAGAAACTCTTGCCTCCCAGGGACATCTACATTGCTTATGTCTTTCCTTCTAATTGTATATGTTTAACAATTAAGTTTACTTCTTATCAATACTTGCAGTTGTTTGGATAAACACAGTAAAAGACAAAGATTCCAAAACTTAGTTCTCTGGACTCTGAGAACAAGCAAGGCTTTTACTATAAATCCCAGACTAAGTCTCCTCAGGCCAGTTCAGCTTGTCCTTCACCATGGGGGTCCTGTCTCTTAAGTCATAACAGCTTGCATTAAAACTGCATATATTCTTTCTAGACTGTCCCATTTTGATGCCAGGGTAGCTTTTCCACTCACCCCATGTACGTGCCAGTCCAGTGGTGGGACCTCCCTTTTGGAGTGTTAGGGGTGTTAACTACAGCCACTGAAGCCCGAGTCAAATATTTATGACCAATGTCCAGGACATATTTCAGAGTCAGTGAACTCCCTAATATTAGGAGCATAGCATTAACGGTCTTTTTGTGTTGAACCCGAGAACATTGCTATATGGTAAAATATAAAATGTCTATAGGGGAAATAGAAAAGTAGGTACAAATACACATCACTTCAAATACAAAACACAGGCTGGAGCGATAGCACAGCGGGTAGGGCGTTCGCCTTACACGCGGCCAACATGGCCGATCCGAGTTCGATTCCTCCGCCCCTCTCGGAGAGCCCGGCAAGCTACCGAGAGTATTCGATATGCCAGACACAGTAACAACAAAGTCTCCAATGGAGACGTTACTGGGCCCGCTCGAGCAAATCGACGATCAACGGGAGGGCCTTTACCTTTTTTTACCTTTACAAATACAAATTCCAGAATTACCAGAAAGTTTTGACTTATAAGTAATCAAGACTGCCTTGGGGAGCTGAGACAATGAGAAGTGAAACACAAAGGAAAGGATAAAGATAAGCTTTGACTAAATTAGGGATGCTAGCAAGCTAGAGCACAGTAAGCCTCTCTGGGAGTTTACTGATGATGACGGAAACACTTAGGGTTAATATCCAACACCTGAGCATCGCCAGGTGCCTCCAAAACAAAACAAAAACATTACTGGGCCATAGATATAATATGGGATCAAGGTGAATGTTGCATCTGCCGACTCCAAATTGGTCCCTGATGTCACATAGTTCTCAGAGCATTGCTGGGTGCAGCCCTTGAGGCCCCATGCTCCTCAGAGTTGACCTGGGTATTCCCCAGCACTACAGGATTCAAGCAACACTGAATCCTAGGGTCCCCACATTAAACCACTCATATGGTTGTCCACAAATCACGAGAAGGGGCCACTAGGTCTTTTGAGCATCTCTTGGGAGCCCCCAGTCCCCAAAATAAAACATTTGTGGCCATCACTTTTGGAAGTGAAAATGAGTCACATACAAGGGATGTTATTATTATTATCTTGGGAGAGAGCAATAGTGACTTTCTAGGACCTTTTTCATTTTTCTTGTTTTATGTCTATGTAGTTGTCGCAGAGTGGCAATCATAGTAATAATAATGACTTCGTTTTGGGTGGTGCATTGCATCTGGTAGTGCTCGGGCATACTGCCACATGAAAGGCCTTACTAATCCCTATACTATGAGTTTGGCCTCGCCATACTCGGGGCTTACTCCTAGATGTTCAGAGATCATTCCTGTCAGGGATTAGGGGACCAACCATATGGGATGCTGCATGTCAAACCCAATTAAATGTGTACAAGGAAACACCCTATCTGCTGTACTATCTCTCCAGCCCCTGGTCACTTCTTATCACTTACATAATAAAATATGATCCATCCTTTGTTTTATTTATTCTTTTGTTTTGGGGTCACGCTCAGCACTATGCCCAGGGTTTACTCCTAGCTCCATACTCACTCCTGGTGGTGCTCAGGAACAATTTGCAGTGCTAGGAATGGAACTGGAGTCTGTCACATAGAAGACCTTATTAATCCCTGAAGTATCCCTTTGGCCTTCCCATGCTGTTTTGTTTTGTTTTTGTTTGAGGGCCATACCTGATGATGTGCAAGGCTTATTCCTGGCGCTGTTCTCAGGTTTCACTCCTTGCAGACTTGGAGGACTATCTGGGGTGCCGGCCATCAAATCCAGATCAGCCATGTGCAAGGCTCGTGCCTTACCTGTTGTGCTCTCCAGTTTGGTTCAGGCCATGCATTTTTAATATGTTTTATATAACAGGTATTTCATCAGTTAGATAACTAAGTCTCGAAAAATGGTATGGCCTTTTGCCAAGGGTCATATGTAACCTCACCCCGTTAGATAAAAGAACAGAAGCATGAACCAGACCTTTGGTTTAGGCCTCATTTCCTGTGTGCCATACCCAGAACACTGTGGTAATGTGCCTCTTAAAGGCTTTGAGAAAGGCTCTGCTTTACCTACTTCAAACTTAGAAACCTACCATCTCTATAAAAAGGCCTTTGCTTGCACTCTGAAATGTATTTATCTGAAAGAAGCCCTGTGAAAGTCCAGAGCAGGTAGGCAATTCTCCCCTGCCGAAGCAACATCCTCTTGTCTGCCCTGAGAGAGATAACCTCCTGACTTCCACAATGTTTGCACATCCTTATATTAGTCTGTCCCCACCACACAACCTCCAGAGTCCAGAGGATACCGTCCTTGTTCTTGAAAGTTCTTCTGGTCCTTTACGGCAGAGCACTAATCAGACTTGGGAAAACGAAAGGAGAGACTTGCTCAGATGAGTCAGACATGTTGAGGAAACTCAGGTCTGCTGTATCAGGCCTCTGTGCTCTCAGAGATAGCATCAGCGCACCCTTGGCACACTCTAGCTACTTTCTGCTGATGGCCGTAGATGTAAGCAGTGAAAGCTTGCATCTTGTGTTTGTTTTCCAAAAAAAAAGTGTTTGGATTACTAGAGCTTCTTCATTTTAGTTCAACAAATTTTCATTGCCTTTGTTCTGCCCAAACCATGTGGTATGTTTTCTTGTTACTCACATTAATCCCATCTATCCATATGTAAGAGGCTATGAGGATATAAAACTCCTCGAGAGTCATCTAATCAGCAACACGCCAAAGAGAGTGGGAGGCAATGGAGAGCTGGCATCTAGAACTCTGGGAGCCCTGTCCAGGGCCCTTTCCACTCCGAAAGTCAGGCGAGTCCACATTACAACTCCTCTACTGCAGAGCAGTCTCTACCATAGAGCAGTTTATAGCTGGTTTGTTGTACTTCTCTCTGCTTCCCTTAGAGCCGCATTCACCAATCCACTTATGGTAAGAGTTTGGCCATCATGACCGAGGCCCAACTCTCCACAGCTGTCATCGAGAACCCTGAGATGCTCAAATACCAGCGGAGACAGCAGCAGCAGCTGGACCAGAAGAGTGGCACTGCCAGAGAAACAGGCTCAGCTGCCTCAGTGGCCGGTGTTGTCAATGGTGAAAGTCTTGAAGACATCAGGAAGGTGAGGGCTCAGACCATTAGTACTGGGTACGTGGCATAAACGTAGGGACAGAATGAGAACAAGCAAATACAGGTTGTAGGGAACTATATATATATACGTATATATATATATATATATATATATATATATATACATATACATATATAGCCTAAAGTAGAACTCAGGGATAAACACTTTAAGGTCTCTTGACTTCCACTGCTATTTGCTGCATGAGGTAGTAATGGAGCTTCAAGCACCATTATGAGAGACCCCCTTGTTCCAAATCATCTCTTAAAGAACTTCCAAACCTCCCTCCTTTGGTTTCTAGGAAATTCTAGGTACTGAGAACAGTGATTTTTCAGGATCTGCCCTTAAGAGATAGCTGTGGGTTTCCCCTTTCTTCCTCTGAAAGCATTGAGAATAGTGGAATGTGGATGATGATAAAACAGGAAAAGGGCAGGAAATGTTGGAATCACCTAGAGAGTTTACAACACTTTCAGTATTGTTGTAGGAACTTGTACAGGAAGATGAAAATTCTCTTGGATAATTCAGACAAAGTGACTGAGAGGAACCCTTGTTTTTGAACCCCTTAGTGAAAGAAAGGATTCTGATTAAAAATATTAAAGTTTTGTAAATCAAGACTTTGAGTCATGAATATAGGTCTCATTGATTATTTTCATCATTGAACTCTGTGGTCTGGGTGGATGTCATATGCTTCTGCCCTGGGAACTTGGCCAGGCTCACAGTACTGTGATAGAGAAGAAGGAGCTGGAGCTGCTTTAACTAGGAGGAGTTTTCTGTTCTTACCTCATTTATAGTACAGTAAGTTTAGCATGCGTCCTGATGAAAACTTTTGTTCTTTAAGTAGGTAGCTTAGTTAATTGTACCAAAAGTCTATGGGAAGGAAAATTAGAATACAGTTATTTAGAAGCTTAGTTTTGATATTTTAAGATAGTTGATTATAACTTTCCCCTTCATTTTTGTTACTTTACTTTGCCAGAATCTTTTAAAGAAACAAGTTGAGACTCGAACAGCAGATGGTCGGAGGAGAATCACGCCTCTCTGCATAGCACAGCTGGACACTGGGTACTTAATCTCTCACTGAGTTCTCTGCCCTCATCTGGGGATGTCTTCCTTTCTTATATTGATAAGTAGCACTTTCTTAACATGTTAATGCTGGCGCTGCAGTTTTGTGTTAATAAAACCACATCCAAGTATGCACCCCCAGTGGTATCATCGTCAAAGTATCATGCTCCTCACCAGTCTCAACCAGTTTGCTTCATAGAATCTGGAAGTAAGGGAGTTGAATCTAACTTTCTACTGTTGTCAAAGCTCTGTACACAGTGGCCCTAATTGACATTGACACTTGAGTTGAAGGCATGCTGTAGGTTACACCCAGATATTATAGCAGGGTTCAGGATGCTGGGGATCGAACCCAGGTTGGCCACATCAAGGCAAACACCCTACCCACTCCAGCCCCAAAAGGAAAACTTTCAACTTCAAATAAAATGAAAATAAAAATTATTGCAAATTAATCTGATAGTAGCACTATAGCACTGTCTTCCCATTGTTCATCAATTTGCTTGAGCAGGCACCAGTAATGTCTCCATTGTGAGACTTATTGTTACTGTTTTAGGCGTATCAAATACGCCACAGGGAGCTTGCCACGCTCTGCCGTGCGGGTGGGATACTCTCGGTAGCTTGCCGGGCTCTCCAAGAGGGACGGAGGAATCGAGCCCGAGTCGGCCGCGTACAAGGCCAAACATCCTACCCGCTGTGCTAAAGTATACTACTTTTTGAGAGCCTGGCAAGCTACCGAGGGTATCTCGTCCACATGGCAAAGCCTGGCAAGCTACCCGTGACGTATCGGATATGCCAAACACAGTAACAAGTCTCACAATGTTACTGGGCCCGTTCGAGCAAATCGATGAACAACGGGAGGACAGTGACAATGATTTATCAGGTTTTCAAATATCAAGAAATCTGATAAAGCCATTGGTAAAAGTGGGTGAATAAGCATTCTCATTCAAACTTGTAATTTAAATCTTTCAAGACGGGGTAGAATTGTTAAAAGGTGGGCTGGAGAGTAAGTCCTGCATATAGGGCTCTTTCCTGGCATACAACAGACTTTTTCAATCCCCGGCATTCAATATGGTCCCCCGAACATGGCCAGGAATAATTCCTGAGTGCAGAGTCAGGAGTAACCCCTGATACCACCAGGTGTATCCACCAAATCAAAACAAACAAAGATTTTTTAAAAAGGAATTGTCAGCAAATTTAAGTGAATAATCTGTTGTCGAAGTCCACTCCTAGGAAATTAATAAGTGGAGCAACGGATGTTAATGACAATACGATAATGAACATCTCTAGGCATCTACTATGTGTTTTAAATATATACTTGACTAAGTACTTTAGTTCTGATGGTGACTTCATGAGGTTGGTTTTGTCACTTCCTCTGGTGCCCATGAGAACCTGAACCTCGGAGTGACTGAAGTTCCCAAAGTTCCAAAGGGAATGCATGGTAGAGGAAGGAGGCTGTGGTGGAAGGTTTGGCCAGGCTCCTCAACACTGCAGTTATTTTGGCCTTGTTGCAGCATTGTCACAGAAAAACCTTGGAAATAGCCCAGTTGTTCCACAGAGGCTGGTTAGGTAAATGATGATACACTTATACAGGCCTTGGTGAAAGAGAGAACCATCCTGTGAGTTGCTTCAAACTAGTTTGGAGAGTTTGCACAGTTAACTCTTTCCAGTGATTAGGGTGAATTTTTTAATCGTTTTGCATCTGTTTTTCATCTATCTTTTGTAATTAGTAGCAAGTTTTTCTTTTGTAATGGTACATAAAATACCTGCTCATCACATATTAAATATAGTGGATTTTAAATTTCTACCTGGCAAATTTTCTACCATGAAATAAACTGCCTTTGGGTCCTGAAAAAAAGTTAATACTTAGTAAATATAAAATGCCTGTTATGATGTTTGATTTCTGAAGCTGACTTTCATTCTTGCTGACACAGGGACTTCTCCACAGCGTTCTTTAACAGCATCCCACTCTCGGGCTCCCTGGCAGGCACCATGCTCTCCTCTCATAGCAATCAGCAACTACTGACTTTGGACTCCAATACTCACAACTCATTTGGCGCTTCAAAGCCTTCCACAGAACCTGTGGCATCAGCCAGCACCAGACTTGTGGGAGACTCTGTCAGTAAAGACAGGTGAGTGAGCACTAGGCATGTGCTCCTATACCTGGGGAAGATTCAAGTTTGGACACAGTTTCAGGGATATTTTCTGGTCCCTTCAGTAAAAAGAGAAACAGAGTTGCCTGATTTCAGAGGAGAAGCTTTTTAGAAGGGGGACCTTCATAAAGTAAATGTCTGATGCATCAGGGCCATGGGGATTTCACTTCCAGAGAAATTATGCCATCTTAGGACCAGTGAAAATATCATCTGCTACAGGGTCAGCTCTGCCTGCTAGCTGATATAAACTGCCTCTGCTGTCTCCTATCAGGAATGTGGTGACATAATGTATCCCAAGCAGGGTATTTGGGTTCTAGAGCCCAGATGGAGCTAGACAATATAGTTCTCACTTAGGGTACTGGTGTCTTTGATCACTATCTGGAAACCAAGCTAGATGTTTAAAGGACTAGATAATTATGAATAAAAACAAAGAGCCATTCAAGCTAATTATCAGAGAAAGGATTTAGAGATAGCAGCTGGATCAGAGCCCTACTGAAAGATGGGAAGAAAGGTGGGTTCTGTGCCCATAAAAAATATCTGAGATATTTTTGGCCATGCAGTTTTTAAGAGAGAAGGAGAGGACTCTGCAGGATGTTTGCCAAGCACCTAATGTGGGATTCAGGTGGGTAGGGATATGGTTTTGAGATCCAGCATATGGAATACACCTTGGCAGAGGACAAGCTCATGCTTACTCCTCTCCTTTCCCTGGATTGGAAGTCAAGAGCTATAGCTTTATAGGGTGAATTTTTAGAGGAAAGTATGAAGAATGAGTAATTGTGATATTGAGGTGGGACTAACCATATCAGAAAGTGGTGCCTAAGGATGATACCAGGAAGACACTTGACACCAAGGGAAATGGTTAAGAAAACTTGAGCTTTGACTTGACACTAGCCAGTCCCCTGAACCCGACTATTGGGGTAGGCCCCAACATCACCAATTGCGCCCATAAATACATGAGACAGTCATTTCAGAATCCAGTGTGGGGCCTTTGTTTCTAAACCCAGTGTTAATGTGGAAAAAGCTGGCATTTGGGGTGGTTTGGGATGGCAGTTCTATATGCAAATTATGAAGATGAGGATATAAGTATATGCAAGTTATATGATGAGGTTAAAGACCTGTAAGAACCATTTTCCAAGCTCTACGCTATCCCCATAAGCTCTCAGAACAGTCCAGTAGCACCTGTATGCATCGATTTGCTCACTGCCTTCACAGAAAGCTGTACTTAACCGAATTTCAGAACTTGAAAATAATAAAATCGGGACTGGAGTCATAGTACAGCAGGTAGAATGTTTGCTTTGCACATGGTCAACCTGGGTTTGATCCCCGATATCCCATATAATGTCCCCAAGCACTGCCAAGAGTAATTCCTGATTGCAGAGCCAGGAGTAACCCCTGAGCATCACTGGGTGTGGCTGAGAAAAACAAAACAATGAAGAAGAATAACAGATTGCTTTTTTTTTTAATTTGGTCCACTGCTGGCTCTTCACTCAGGATTTGTTCCTGGTGATGTTCAGGGGACTATATGGGGTGCAGGGGTTAAAACTCGGGACAAGCATCTTACCGTTTTGTCTTTTTAGTTTTTAGTTTTGGGGCCCCACTTAGCTGTGTCCAGGAATCACTCCTTGCATGTCTTGGGGTACCATATCGGATGCTGGCCAGAGTCATCTAAATGCAGGGAAAGCACCTTATCGTCTATACTCTCTCTCTCCAGCCACCTGGCCCCTGTCTTAAAATTAATAGAAGTTAGATATTGTGGGGCTGGAGCTATAGTACAGCAGGTAGAGCATTTGCTTAGCATGTGGCAGACCTAGGTTCGATCCCCAGCATCCCATATGGTACCCTGAGCACTGCCAGAAGTAATTCCTGAGTGCAAAGCCAGGAGGAACCCCTGTGCATCACCGGATATGACCCAAAAAGAAAAAAAAATTGTAAGTTAGATATTGTATTCCTTTTTCTTGGTTTCAAGTAAGGCTAACAATACTCCCATATCCTTGATGGTTTGCTTAACTTACTCTCCCTTCTTCACCCCATCCTAGTATGAATGCTACCTCGACTCCTGCTGCATCATCGCCCTCTGTGTTAACAACCCCATCAAAGATCGAACCTATGAAAGCATTTGACTCCCGATTCACTGAACGGTCCAAAGCTACACCAGGTGCTCCTACCTTGTCCAGTGTGACTCCAACAGCTGTGGAAAGGTAGGTGGCGGTTGTATGGGAACCTGAGGCCAGGAGATGCTGACTCAGGCCCAAAGTGCAATGCCTGCTTTCTCACCAAGGAGTCTACCCTTTCTCCTCTGATCACTGTATACACTGGAATCCCTACCCCTAGTCCTGAGAATAAAGGACTGACTAAGTGAGAAGCTGCTAGAAGTAGTCATCAGGAGGACATGGCAGGACTGGTCTATAGAGACTGCTGAAAATAATGTCATTGTTAACCAGAGCCTGGCGTTTTCCCAGACAAGGATCAGGAGATTGGTATGTGAGAAGAATGACTCTGATTCTCCGGTACCATGGAAGTAGTGGCCTTGTATTCAGAAACCAAATAGGAAATTGGGACCTGTGTTAAAAATAATGGAGAGTAACTCTCATATGTGGGATATAAAGAAACCTCATAGGGGAATGTCAAGTGCCTAATGCCTGTAGAAACAAGGAGCAGGAGAACTGGTCTTAAGTAGGAAGTTTGGCACTGGGACAGTGGTGAGGGAGATAAATTAGGGAAGGGAACACTGGGAAATTGGGACAAGGAAAAGGTATCTGCCACAGAGGCAGGTAGGGATGGGGTGGAGGGAAACTGAGGACATTAGTGGAGGGTAGTGGGCACTGGTGAAGTGATTAGTGTTGGAACAATATGTGCCCAAAACTCAAATCATAAATACCTTCGTAACTCTGTAATTTATGGTGATTCAATTTAAAAAAGGGTTGTGTGGTTGGGGAGGGGGGGATAATGAAGAGTAGGTCTTTAGTTACTTGAAAGTCAGCTTTACTTCTGAACTCTTACAGAGTTGCCCATTCTCTGTGCCTCCCTTAGCACACAGCAGTCAAATCATGGAACATAGTTCTTTTTTTCTTAGATTTGCAAGAGTCCTCTTAATTGGACAGAACACATATGACACTGCTCTTATTGGCATTGAACTTCTCAGCCTTCTGGAAGATCCTTTCCTCTAAGCCTGCCAAGCTGTGAAACTGATTACACAGAGCTCACTGCATAGTCCAGCAAGTAGGCAACTGAGAGTTTTATAGATTGCACCATCTACTTCCATCGAGTTCAGCATCACAGTCCTGTCCTCTTGGGGTTGCTTCAAACCAGTTGGCAACTAGGACTTCGAAACCTGCGGCAAATGCACTCCTACTCTGTGTCAGCATTAGCCAAATAAGGGATATTGGCCAAAGACCCTTGGAATAGCTATACAGCCAGTAGGTACCCAAAAAAGGGAGCATTTGTGAAAGAGTTGACCTCGCAATAGACGACACTAAAGCAGTAGCATATCATCTCCAGAGGTTCACTCATGATCTCAGAAGTGTGTAAGCAGAATTTGTTCTTCTGGGGAGAACAGCCTTGAAAGCCAGTATGGGAAATTCTCCCTTCAAGTCATCTTTCATATCTATGACCTTACTGTGGAACCTGTATTCAATCAGTATGTTCATGATGATATTTTAGTATACAGAAATCTTTTGGTGTGAGAATGGAGGTTGATGGCTGTCAAGTCGGGTTCTCAGACTTGTAAGGCATGCATGCACTCAACCACTAAACAGCCCTTCCTGTGATCTTTTTAAGTAGTAGTTTCTTCATCTATCATCATGAGGCATCTGAAAGCCTTCTTGCTGCTAACACATTGAGATGCTGGATGAGTAATATCACATTACACCCAAAATTAATGATTTATTCACACAAAAGTAAAGGTAGTTCCCAGAAGCCAAAATCTTAAGCGAACAAAAGCAGAGCTTAGGCAAAACTGCACCATTCACTAATCTGGTAACCACAGATCTCTGTTTTTATTTGGGGGCCATATCCATTGGTTCTCAGAGGATACTCCTGGATCTGCACTCAGGGTTCACCCCTGGCAGGTTCAGGGGACTATTTGTTGTGTTGAGAATTGAACCCAGGTCAGCCATGGGTAAGGCAAGCATCTTGCCCACTGTACTACCTCTCTGATCCTCAGGAATTTGAGTATTAATGGGCATACAGATTGGAGATAGGGCCTTGACTCTGGATCATAGAAGGGATTGAAACTGAGACCTAGCTGAAAGCTACTTAAGAAAATATACCCATTGCGATGGGCTGGAGCGATAGCACAGCGGGTAGGGCGTTCGCCTTACACGCGGCCAACATGGCCGACCCGAGTTCGATTCCTCCGCCCCTCTCGGAGAGCCCGGCAAGCTACCGAGAGTATTCGATATGCCAGACACAGTAACAACAAAGTCTCCAATGGAGACGTTACTGGGCCCGCTCGAGCAAATCGACGATCAACGGGAGGGCCTTTACCTTTACCTTTACCCATTGCGATGGGAAGGGCTTGACAAACCCTACTCGATATAGATTGGGTTGTCTCAATTAGATTTTTGTCTTCTCTAAAGACTGCATAGCTATAGGTATACCCTCCCTTAAATTTGGATTTAGTTTTGTTTTATCTTTGTCACATAAAAATCATTAGATGGAAAAATGGACTCAAAGGAGAATCACATCTGATTAACACACGGAGGGATTTGACAAGGAAGATGCATATCTACCTTTAGGTACTTTTGTCTAAACCCTTGTGTGCACTACCAGTAAAGCAATGCTTAAGATGAGCACTAAGTCAAAAATAAGTAAATGAACAGGAGGGGTGTGTGTGTGTGTGTGTGTGTGTGTGTTTGGGTCACACCCAGCGATGCACAGGGATTACTCCTGACTCTGCACTCAGGATTCACTCTTGGGTGGTACTCTGGGGACCCTATGGGATGCCAGGGACCGAACTCAGGTCAGCCACTTGGTAAGTAAAAGGCCCTCCCGTTGATCATCGATTTGCTCGAGCGGGCCCAGTAACGTCTCCATTAGAGACTTTGTTGTTACTGTGTTTGGCATATCGAATACGTCACGGGGAGCTTGCCAGGCTCTGCTGTGCGGGCGAGATACTCTCGGTAGCTTGCCAGGCTCTCCAAGAGAAGCGGAGGAATCGCACTCGGGTCAGCCATGTTGACTGCGTGCAAGGCAAACGCCTTACCTGCTGTGCTATTGCTCCAGCAGCCACTTGGTACAAAGCAAAAATGCAAGGCAAATGCCGTACCTGCTGTATTATCACTCAGGCCCCCAGGTTTAGAACTCTTTAAGCCTGTGATGATAGAATTATCAGATGGAGACTCTAGTACGTATATTTGTTTTAAATTATTTAAAGATGGGTCTGGAGATAGCTTAAAGGGCTAGTGCATTGCTTTGCATACAGGAGGCACAGGTTTGAGGCCTGACCTCGATGCCTGTCATCACATGACCCTCACACTAAAGTGATTGAGTCATGTTCTGGGGAGTGGCACTTGAATACTATTGGTTGAGGCACCAAAAAAAAGTAAAATACTATCAAGACAAGAAAAATAAAAATGTGAGGGAAAAGTAGTCTATTGTCATGTAATCAAAATTGACTTTTAAAAGTTTGAAGAGGGCCAGAGCAATAGTACAGCAGGTAGGGTATTTGCCTTGCATGCGGCCAACCTGGGGTTTGATCTCCAGCATCCCATATGGTCCCCCCAGCACTGCCAGGAGTAATTCCTGAGTGCAGAGCCAGGAGTGACCCCTGAGCATCACTGGGTGTGAGCCAAAAAGCAAAAAATAAATTGGTTAATTAAATAAAAAGTTTGAAGAACTAAATATAAGAGTTTAAAACTTCAAAACACAGAAGTAGGACTGGAGAGATAGAATAGTGATTAAGGATAATGGTTTGTATGCATTGGCCACCAATTCTCTCTGGCACTACATAGTCGAATAAGCATCACTGGAAACAACTAAAGGAAAAATAGATATGTTGAACTTAATCAAAATTAGAACTGGAACCAGGGAGATAGTAGAGTACAGGAGTTAGGGTGCATGCACCTAACCTGGGTTTAATCCCTGGCATGTTATGGCCTCCTGAGCTTTGCCAGATATGACCCTGGTGTTCTCAAGGCCTGAGCAGCAATGCATCCTTAGGCTCTAGCACTGAACCACTGGCCTAGTTGACTGAGTACCACTGGGAGTGGTCCTGGGCCCATAAGCATCATTTGGAAAGTCCAAAAGGGAAAAACCATAAAATGTCTCTGCTATAGAGACTAAAATGGGTAGAGAATGTGCATTGCAAGTGTTTGGCCCTAAGTTTGACCCCTGATACCACATTACCTTCTCAGCTGTGCTCAGCATTTCCAGGCACAGCTCACCGGGTCAATTTTCATCAGAAATGACCCCTGGATCCCAAAGCACCTCTGGGGAGGCAGCTCCACCCCCCCGCCCCGCCCTCAACACAAAAGAACCCTCTATCAACAGATTAAAAGTATAACCTACAGGAATGGGAGAAATTTGCAAATCATATCTGATAAAGATTAAAAAGGGTATAAAGTTCTTTTAAAACTCATAACTGAAAAATAAGAATAACTCAATTCAAAAGTGGGAAAGGGGTGCTAAGAATGTTTATAGAATGTGTATCAGTGATAGAGCACATGCCTGACATTTGTGATACCCTGGTTTCAACCCCGGCACTAAAAAAAAAAATAGACAAAGGATTTTTTTTTTTTCTTTTTGGGTCACACCCAGCAATGCACCGGGATTACTCCTGGCTCTGCGCTCTGGAATTACCCCTGGCAGTGCTCAGGGGACCATATGGGATGCTGGAAATTGAACCCGGATTGGCCCGCGTGCAAGGCAAACGCCCTACCCGCTGTGCTATTGCTCCAGCCCCGACAAAGGATTTAAATAGAATCATGTCTCTAAAAAAGATATGCAAATTCCCAATAAACAGTATCAGCCACCTGGGAAGTGCAAATCAAAACCACAACGAGATTTTATTTCATATTCATTTGGTGCCTATAATAAAAGTATCTGATAATCAATGTTGGTGATGACATGGAGAATCAGAACCCTTATAGATTGCTAATGTGCATATAAAATGGTTCTGCTGTTTTAGAAGACTATTTGGAGTTACTCAGTTAAAGTATAGAATTACCATATGTCTCAGCAGTGTTTATACCTGTATAAC